CATCTGGTTAAACACGGCAAAAGTAATTGATAGAAAAATAGATAAAAAGGGTCTTCACCCTGAGAGTCTGATACACCTCAAATTAGAAACTGTTACCCAAGACAGTTCCTCATACCAAGTTTTTCACTCCTTTTATGAGGAAATGCGGAAGGAATTTTCCATCTCTGCCAAAGCTAAAAACTTGCTCCTCTCACTGGTTGAGTCTATATATGCTCAATCACATCCTCAGGCTGCAGGCCGTTTTTGAAATTATAACTAATGAAACTGCAAGCACCATCAGTTTGCTGACAAAACAAAGCACTAAGATGCACAATACCATCTATCACAACTGCTTGGATTTAGACTATTTGCTTGCTTCTGAAAAAGAAGTTTGTAAGAAAATTTAACCCAAACAACTGCTGCTTACAAATTAATGATTTTAAAAGGTTGTAAAAGAGATCACAGACAGAACAAAAAAGCTTGTCCATGTCCCTGTCTAGGCTTGGAGAGGATGGGATCCCGTGACCTGTCTGGAGGATGGTTTTCTGCTTTAGTTGGATTCAAAACCCTGATAGGGACAATGGGCCTAATCCCAGGGGCATGCTTAATATTGGCCAGCCTGGTTCCCCTGGTGCTGTGGCTTATCAAGACTATTATAAATGCCGTTACAGAAAGAAATCAGCCACACATGTAATAATACTATAAAAATACAAACCCCAAATAAAGATGATGCTCTTTGACCATAAGTGGGTCAAATGTAGCAGGGAGGAGGATCAGAAGAAAACAGTCTAGGCCTGAGTCCTGAGAAAGTAGCAGGGAGGTAGGGACAGCATAGCAGAGAGATAAAACCTGAGAAATCTGAACATGAGGAACGTCATGTAGCACTAGGGACGGGAAAGTCACATAACATTGGGATAAAGTAGCCAGTAAAATTAAATATAACCATCTATGGGCTAGACCTTGCTTTTTGCTTCTGTTACCTGCTTGCAAGTTCATATAAGGTGAGACCCCTTTGTTCTCAGAGCTCCGCCTTTGGATATGAGTCCGCTGAGTCTGTGCTGGCACAGTAAAATGTTGTTTCTTGATAATTGCCTCAAGAGTCCCGTATCTCAGCCAGCAAACTCCCGCAACACAGGTGCATGCTACACATATCAGCATATATTTCAAAAGTGGTGGCCCACTCTGTAATCCCAGCACTTAGAAGGCTGAGGGAAAAAAAGGATTATTAATTCAAGGCCAACCTGGGCTACCTAATGAGACTCTGGCCCCCAAAACTGAGGCCTGCAGGTGTATACAGCATGCACAAATGCTTGCATAGCACGTGCAAAGCCCTGGTGTCAAGCCTTGGTCCTACTAAAAAATTAAAATTAATTCTCAGTTGGGCAGTGTAATCCTAGCTACTTGAGAAGAAGAAAGCAAGAGGATCTAGGATCAAGACAAGCCCAGGCAAAAGCAAGATTCTATTTCAAAAATACCCAACACTAAGAAAAAGGACTGAAAGTTGGGTAAAGAGGTAAGTGCCTGCCTAGCAAGCATGAGGCACTGAGTTTCAATTCCAGTACTGCAAAAAATTAATAATTAATTAATGGAAGTTCTTAATTTTCCACTCTTAGGAATGTACTTTAGTGTAAAGAATTCCATGAATTGTGTGTAGTGAAAATCAGTTTGAGTTAGCAATTTATAGCAAACTAAAGTCAAAAGAAGAAATTATAACACATTTAATCAGAGATCTAATTAGCTCTATTTGCAATTCATGGATGGGGCAGCCTCCATACTACAAGGTAAGATGAGCACTCCCACCTGGCCATGGCTATAGAAGCTACAAGGGGCAACAAGGAAACAGACCAATGGGGAGAGTTAGAGTTGATTATGAGGCAGTTGGCATGAGTGACTCCATTTTTGTTTGGTCTGTTCTGCTGGGGTCTAGAGCAGGAACTAGGTCCAAAACTGTATTCTCACATGTTAAGTCTAATAGTAATAGCAAATGGTCTACTAAGAGTACTTTCCTGTGAGCCTACCTATGTGCAGTTCTGAAGACAAATACAACACAGGATTGAGCCTGGAAATTTAAAAGTGATGCCGTGGTCTGAAAAGATTTTTCATACAGTAGTGGCCTGGAATAACACAGAGGGTGATAAGAAGTAAATGAGATCTTTCCAAAAGAAGAATCATAGAACAGATTCCTAAGAAACACGCCCTGAGATAGAGATTATCATAGACGGATTCCTGAGAAGCATGGGTTGAGATATTAATATTGTGGAATTGATTTACTGAAGGAAGCTGCCAGGAGAAGGACATGCGGAGACAACGAGGGGGAAGAAGGGGAGAGCTGAAATTGAACCATGATGACCTTTAGTCTGACCCCAGAGAGAACCACAGGGACTGGAAGGGCACACGGAGCTGGTCCTTTCTTGGGGAAAGATGGCCCTTTGTGCCCCACATCAGTAAGTCATTGCTCCATCCTGCCAAATAGGTTGAGGGATGTGAGGGAAAAAATGGCCTCCCTGCTGGAATGACCTCTGCTTGACCTATACACTTCCCATGAGCACATCAAATAGCAAAACAAAAACAAAACTACAACAAGAAGACAGTGCTGACAATTTAAAATGGTTGAGATAAAACTTTAAAGAGCAACTAATGGAGGGTGAATGAAGGAGATTACAGTGAGAGAATATGGCAGGTGGACAAATCTGAAATAGAACAAAGAAACCTCTTACAATTGATTTAAGTGTGGTGGGGAGAGGAGGATGGGCGGGAGGGTGGGGTGAGCTAATCAATGTAAAATAAGAGCCTATTTGAAATTGTCACAATGAATCCCCTTTGTACAAAAAAATGTATCCTCATAAAAGTAAAAAAAATAGTGCTAATAATTTGTACTAATTTTGAAAAACACTGATATGGATGGACCATATCAAAATAAGCACCAATTAAATTTTAAGACTTTTTAAAAAATGAAAATAACAACAAAAAGCCCACAAACCAGTTGCATGAAGATAGTCCATAAGTCCTGGCCACATTTCATGGCCTTTAACTATGTTTTGAAGTCTATCGTGATGAGTAGCTGCTTTTCTCTTTTAGTGTAAAGACTCAGCACTGTTCTTGTGAAGGCGCTGACTTCACCTCGGATTCTAGAACAGCAAAGCTGGCAGGTGGATCATCTCACATGGACACTGCTGCCCTACCTAAAGATTGAGTCCATGGTGACCACTGGAGCTGCCCTGTGAGCAGGAGCAGTCATCTCACGGTGGATTTTAGACCCACTCACCCCTCTCTGTTTCCCTGTTTCTCATGCACCTCATCCTTCGTCAGTAACTATTCTGTGCATCACAGTCTCAGTCAGCACAGGAGGCAGGATTAGGACAGTCTGATTCTGACACCCCATTCTTTCTCACCCTGCTGGGAGGGGCTTGGAAATAGGTGAGAAGCAAGAGGGCGGGGCTACCAGGGATCCTTTATATGGTGCAGCTCCTGGAGACCCAGAAGAATAGACCCAGTGTCAAAGAGCCACAAGAGAGACACAGCAATGGCAGAAAAACAGGAGAGTTGAAAAGGGACTGCAATGACCTTGGCCCATGGCGGTACCATAGTGCATATCTAATTGAGCAGGAGTGTGCCACTGAGGTGCCTGTGAGCTGCACTGCGTGTGGAAGGGGAGGGCAGGTGGAAAGAGAAATGAAAGTGAGGGAGAAGGAGACAGAGAGAGAGAGAGAGAGAGAGAGAGAGAGAGAGAGAGAGAGAGAGAGAGAGAGATTGAGAGATTCTATGACTGAGTATTGATCAGGGAGTGTAAATGTCTCCTATTCTGTGTGTGAATTTTCTTCTCTCCCACAGCAATGACAATGTTCAATGTCTGTGGACCTTTCTATGTGTCACTGGCAGAATGTTGGGAGACTTAGAGACTGGGCTTACCTGAAGACCCATCTCTAAGCACTGACAAGAGCAGAATGAATGTGGCTTTAATGTCTCCTCTTGAGAACAGTGGAGGAGGATGAGCTCACACAGTGGGGTGCTGGATCATTAAGCTGGGTCTGTACACAGTGGCTCAGGCTACATGTCCCCTACCTGAGATCTCCTAGAAGTGGTGTTGCAGAAAGGGCTCTCCCCTTCTCATAGATAACCCAGTATGGAGCATAAAAATACCAGTGATTACGATTAAGGTTTTACATGTATTACTTTCTATCTCCCTGAGAATACTCTATGAAGTTGGAATTTCTAGTGATCTCCTGTAAACTGAGTCAGGCCCTGCCCAGGTAATGTATCTCTAATCCCACTGCTAGTAAGGATCAGAATCAGGATTTGAATCCAGTTAGCCTGACTCTTCTACAACCCTTCTGCTTTGTCAAGAATACAGGGACCTGGCTTTGGACGGGGGGCAGGAGAGGAGGGTCCTCAGAGCCTGTCCTTCAATCTCTAACCTGCCACACCACTGGCACCACTGGAAACTCTCATAGGAAGAGAGCCTGTCATCTTGCTCACCCCTCTTATCCACACTTCATTCCCACGGCAGGTCCCATGCACACAGAAAGTGGCCTTGTCCGTTGGTTCTTCAGTGATAATCAAAGGGACACCCTGCATCTCTTTTGCATGAGTTCTCTTTATACATGGGTGGAATGAAATGTGCTTTGGGGCAACCTGTGTCTCAGTGACATTGGAGTGTTTGACTGCAGGTTGGCACCTGTCTTAGACCCCACCAAGCATTAAACATGGTCTGTGGGCAGATATGAGGGACAGTGGGAAGAGATCACTCCATGGGTTGGGGCTGTGGCTCTTTATCAAAGGGCATGCACTTTTCAGGGGATGGATCACCCATCAGTCAATGACTGATGCTAAGTTTTAGTTTTGGTCTAAGTAAGAAACAGAGCACCTCACTGCCCTGCTTCATTGGACAAAGACTATAGTATCATTCAGGAAGGCCTTCCTTGCACTGTGAAGAGTAACTTAGGAAGGATTTGTTTTTGATCTAATGTGTGTGTCACCACAAGAAAGGGTCCTGCCAACACATCATGTGATTTGCCCAGCAGAAATGACCCCGAATTGCAAGTGGATTTCCATATCAGCCCTGATGAGAAGTCTGACATCGCCTTCCATTTCCGAGTCTACTTTGGGCGTCTTGTGGTCATGAACACTCGTCAGAGTGGAAAGTGGGAAAATGAGGTGAAATCTTCCACAATGCCCTTTGAGGATGGCAAGCCATTTGACCTGCGCATCTTGGTGCTGCACAATGAGTACCAGGTGAGTGACCCTGGGAATGGCCCCTACTCAGCATCTATGGGATCCCAAAGGAGGACACTGCTCACCTGGCCTGGCTGCAAAAGCCCTGTGGAGTCCATCTTTCAGAAGTACTGGCTTTTAGTTCCAGAGCACCTTCTGCTCATCACCATCCTCAGTTCTTTCCCCAAATCTGAACAGGGTCAAGGTCAAGGTCAACTCACAGGCAACTTGACCTAAGGTCAAAAATTTCTTCTGTCTTCACCCACAGCTTTTCTTCCTTCTTATTTTGTTAAATAAATATCCAAGTATCTAAATAATTAAAACTGCATTTGAAAAGTTATCTTAATCAGCCTAAACTTAAGGCTTCCTGTCACCTCTGAACACCAATCCCTTTCCCAATAACAACTATTTTTGGCTGATTTGCCTCCTTCTAGAAATAACCTGTACTTATACAAGCACTGTATGTATAAATACATATAAATATAAATAACATAAATATTTATATGTTTTCATTTTTAAAATAAATGATAGTATCAATTTCTCTTTACATTACAACTTGGGAGCTAGAGGTTTTTGTTGTCAAATAATGAATCTTGCCAGGCACTGGTGGATCATATCTATAATCATAGTTGATCAGGAGGATGACAGTTTTCAGCCAGCCCCAGACAAATACTTGTATTGTAATGTCACCCTGTAGCCAATAAACACGTCTAGGTACTACTTGTCATTTAAAAATGAATACATGGGGTTCAGTATGGTGGCTTATTTCTGTAATCCCAGCACTGCGGAGGTTGAAGCAGGATTGAGATTTGGAGGTCAGGCTGGGCTACAGCCTATAGATACACCCAGTCTCAAAATAAAGAAATAAACAAAATTTAAAATATATGTAATTTTATAAAAACTGTATCTTAGAAAATTATTGTGACCCATTTTCCCTCCTATAGGTCATAGTAAACAGGCAATACTGTTACAGCTTTGCCCATCGAATCCAGCCAAGCTCTGTGCAGATGGTTCAGGTGTGGAGAGACATCCGCCTGACCTCCGTGGATGTCGTCTAGATAAAGTGACCACTCTCCCCTCTGTGAGGACACCCTCGCTCTAGACGACCATGGGATTCCCAGAGCCTCTAACAGAACACTTCCTTCTCACCCCTGCTACACAAGGTCATTAAAGTTAAACCTCTACCAAACTTCATAAGAGTTTGTTTTTGCCTTAGAGGGGAATAAAGTAAGTGTCATCACCAAGATGGCTGTGGGAGTTCCATGGGGGAGATTAAGTAATCAAAGAGGAAAAATCTTCTGCAATGTAAGGAGTGAGTCACAAGCTCACTGAACTGTCTGAACATAGCAAGGACATCCTTATATTGGACTTATCACATGTCAGATGCTCTCAGCCAAAATCCTAACCCTGTTGCAAATGACTGAACTGAAATTTTAGACATCTGTCCACACCCAGAGCTGTAATTGTAATTGAGGAAAATCAGATAGAATTCATTAATTTGCTCGTTTGAAGGATGTTCATATGTGTCACCAGTAGACCTGGCTGGAGGAGTTGAAGACAGGACATGACAAAGTTAGCATTTGAAATTCTTGTCAGGCATGGTGATTTATGCCTGCAATCCCAGGACTTGGGAGGCTGAAGCAGGAGAATCATGAGTTTGAGGGTACCTTGGGATACATAAAGACCTGCTCTCTTAAAAAAAAAGAAAGAAAGAGAGAGAGCGGGGCGTCCAGCTTTCGAGACATTTCCTTTGTCGTGATAGTGACAAAAGAGCGAATTAAAGATGGGTGATGTTGAAAAAGGCAAGAAGATTTTTGTTCAGAAGTGTGCCCAGTGCCACACAGTGGAAAAGGGAGGCAAGCACAAGACTGGGCCAAATCTCCATGGTCTGTTTGGGCACAAGACAGGTCAGGCCCCTGGGTTTTCTTACACAGATGCCAACAAGAACAAAGGTATCACCTGGGGAGAGGATACACTGATGGAGTATTTGGAGAATCCCAAAAAGTACATCCCTGTAACAAAAATGATCTTTGCTGGCATTAAGAAGAAGGGAGAAAGGGCAGACTTGATAGCTTATCTCAAAAAGGCTACCAATGAGTAATACCCACTGCCTTATTTATTACAAAACAGAAATGTCACATGGCTTTTTATGTGTACCATAATTTAATCTTACAACACCAGAATTCAAATCATGAATGGCTGACAGAATATTTTTGTTGGACAGTCCTGATTTAAGCAAAATTGGCTTGTAGTTAAGTAAATGTGTCTTTTTTTCAAAAGCAATTCCAGTTAAGTAAATATTGTCACTGTTTCCCCTTTCTAAAGATATGATTGGACTTAATTAGTAATATTCAGCCTTTCACAGATGGGGAACACCATCTCAAAACCTAGTAACAATTGGTTTTATATTTACATTTATATAGTTGGTTGTGTGATGTTTAAATACTGGGGGGTTCCCTTCACTATCTCAAAACCAGGCAAAAACTCACTATGTTTCAGTTTGTGATCATTTGCCTGTTAAAGGCAATATTGAAGATAAGGAAGCAATGTCTGTATTTTGGTCTTGACTACTACCAATTTAAGTAGAATTCCCTGTATTTAAAATGCTGCCTTTTACTTGCTAAAAGGCATTTTAGTGTGGTTTATGTATAATATCAAATAAAGAATATTTAAATTTAAAAAAAAAGAAAGAAAGAAAAGGAGAAAAAGGATAAGGAGAGGGGGAAGGAGGAAGAGGAACAGGAAGAGGAAGAAGATAAGACAAAAAAGAAGGCCGAGGAGGAGTGGGAGGAGGAGAGGTGGGAGGAGGAGGAGAAGAAATTTTCAGTGAATGCCATAGAAAACCACAGAATTTCAATGACCACAAAGAATAGTGCCCCACTTTTTCTGTCTTTCAAAAACAATTGCAAGATTTTACCAACTTCTGAGTGACAGAGTGGTTCAGGTGGTAGAGCGCCTGACTAGCACATGTGGCCTCTTATGGTGCACAGCCCCTGGGAGGCATCTGTAACTCAAATCCTGTCCAGAAGAGGGACATTTGCAAACAGCATCATGGGTTGAGTCTAGTCTACTCAAAACATAACTCAGGGATTTATCTTTTCCTCATTGCTGTGTTTCCCATGCTTTCCTTGAATTTCCCCAAACCCAAAAACCAATGGAAAAAAGAGTCATCAGCAAAATGATGTAAGCAGGGCAGGTGGGGAGGACGCCCCGCCTCTCCTCTTGCACACAGGTCTGGAATCTACGTGGTAATTAGTTGTCTCCAGGAGAAGATGAGATATGCATTGAGGGGCTCCTGTGCCTGTGCAGATGAGGAAACACCCCACTGCACAAGGCGGGAAAATGAGGCAGTCTTGACCTGGACCCTGCCATAGGCTCAGGATCCCAAGACCATCTTCTCCCTGAGGGAGGAGCATTGGGGTCTCAGCCCCACCTCTAAGGTTCCCATGGTGGTCTCTTCATTTTCCTTTCTCCAGGAGTGCAAGGGACAAGGCACACACTAGCATCCCATGACCACGGAAGAAAGAAGCAGTATTACAGGGGTTTTTAAGCACTTCTTGGGGCTTCTCCCCAGGATCAGGACAAATAATGGTTTAAAATTCAGAGATTTGAGTTTCTCCAGCGAAGGGTTTTTACTACACTTTCCACACTGACGTTCATGGCCAACTTCTTAATTTACACAAGTTATTGAGTTACCTGGGCATAGACCAGACTGTAGACTTCTGAGGTCCTAAGCAGGTGTGGGCTACTTCCCAAGCTTTCTACCCTGCCCCACTAGGGAATAAACACAGGTCCAAAGGGCTTGGTGTGTGGGCACCTGCCTGTGGACCAGCCATGGGGGAGGCAGAGGTAGAAGAATCTCAGTCCAAGGCAGGCCCTGGGCAAAAGCAGGAGACCCTACTTGAAAAAATACACTAAGCCAAAAGGGGTGTGGTTTGGTTCAAGTGGTAGAGGGCAAGCCTAACAATGCAATGTCCTGAATTCAGTCCCTAATACTGTAAGCAAAACCAACCAACCAAACAACATATAAAACCAAACAAAACAAAGAATAGGTCCATTGATTACTCCTGGAAGCCGTGGTGCACAGTGTCCCAATGTGCTCTTACCTGAGAGTCTGTATCCTAAACACTTAGATCTCAAGGTGGAGGGCTAGGTACAAGTGGGTCTCCTTACATCCCAGACCAAATAGATACTAGGAACAGCAATCAGACAAGAAAAAGGAATAAGGAAACCTCTCTTTATCTGCAAATGATACGATCCTGTATCTGAAACCCCCAAAGTGTCCAAAGTGCTAGATTAATAAATGAATCCACTAAAGTTGCAGGATACAAAATAAGGCATCAAGCTATCCAGGAGACACATCCACCAGCACTGCATAGAGGGGATGAACCACAGGCCTCTTTCTCCTTGGTGGGGTTTGCCGTCCCTCTTCAAGCTGCTGCTTGATAGTCAGGCTTGTGACTCTCCTACCTCTGGGAGATGACACAACAAACAGTGGACCTGGGAGTCAGACTGATGGTACGGATGTGAGAATCAACTAAAGTCAGGTCTTTTCGGTCAAAGGGGTTCATGAACACTATATTATCATTGTACAGATGTCAGCTTAACTTCCCCCAAATTGTACCCTATGTGTGTTGTGAGATGTCACTTAACCAAATAAATTCCTGTTTTAAACAAAAGGCGGTTCTTCTTAGCTGAGCAAGTTCATTTGATCACCAGGTGTCCAAGTTTCAGAAACTGCTTGCTTACTTGTTCAGGTAAATCTTTGCTCTTCCTGCACCAAGGTCACTTGCCCCACCCGAAATCCATTCAGTCAAGGTGAGGGGCAGCTTGCATTAGAGATCAACCCTCAGCAGACTTCCCACCCAGTGTGCTTGCTAACAGGACTCTGTCCGTGGCACCTCTTCTGCAGAAGTCAATTTTGCCTTGCCTATTGACACCTGAGTTCTGTCATCTCTCTCATGACACCCAATATCCCAAATTAATTTCTAACAATGATCAAGGAAAAGGCAAGGCCTGTACACTGTTGGAATGTGGTGAGCACAGCCATAGTGGATAACAGTATGAGGATTCTAAGGACTTTAAAACTGGAACTATCTTGTGACCCAGCAATCCCTCTTCTGGGTGTTTATCTAACCATCAAGAAATAGTCACCTTGTAAAGATGACTTGCTCCACCATGGTCACTGCAGCTTTATTCACAGCAGCCAAGACATGGAAACAAGCTACGTGTCCATCGATGGATAAATGGTTTAAAAATCCTCTAATGCAAATACACAAGGGAATATTATTCACCCCCAACAAAGAATGTGATCTTACTATTTGTCACAACAGAGGCAAACCTAGAAGATTTCATGCTAAGTGAAACAAGCCAGTCACAGAAAGAAAAAGATTCCATGATGTCACTTACATGTGTAATTCTGAAAACTCAAACATACAGAGGTAGAAGACAACACTAGTTAGCAGATATAGTATAGTGGAGGAGGAATGGGGAAGGTGTAGGTCAGTAGGAAATAGCAGATATGTAGAATGAACAAGTACTACACAATCTCACTTATATTCAGAATATAAAAAAAGCCAACATCAAAGTTTGACTCCTTGTGTTTTTTTGCTGACACTGGGTTTGAACTCAGCGCTTGCTAGGAAAGTGCTCTACCACTTGAGCCAATCCTCCAATCTTTTTTCATGATTGGTTTTGTAAAGATAGGGGATTTTGAACTATTTGCATTGAACAGCAAATCCATCTCACCTTGTCTCATGAGTTGCTAGGGAAGCCTGACTTCTCTAAGTGGCTGGGGTGGGGTGGGAAGGGGAGCTGTTGAACAAAGGGTACACAGTTTCTGTTAAGCAGGAGGCATGAGTTCTCTTGCACAGCGTCATGACTACAGTTAGTAATCATGTCTTGCATATTTCAGTTGCTAAAAGAGTAAATTTCAAATGTTCTCCTATCACAGAGAAATGTTGAGTATGTGAGGTGGAAATGTTGAGAAGCCAGACTCATTCATTCCCCAAAGCACATAACATCCCATCATGCCCCATATATGGCAATACTATTGCCAATGACAATAACAAACATGACAAACATACTGAAATCTAAAATCGGATAGTTATCAAGCACCTTTAGATTTATTAGAAGAAACCAGCCAGTTATGCTTGGGTCCCAGCTTGGCTCCAGTTCAATTTAGTTCCATGAAAACATCTCAGTGAAAGTGAGTATAATGCAGAGATTTCTGCTTCCCAAGGGCTATCTTCCATCTCTTTACTTTGAATTTTACCAAGCATTTAAGGAGAATATCAATTCTTCAAAATCTCTTCAAAAACTAGAAAAGGAGATGACATTACTCAGTTCACTCTATGCAGTCAGTCTTACGTGCATATGAAATGTTGACAGAAAACTACAGTCTGAAATCCCTCATGAGCACAGACAGCTCACAGTTCTGAAGGTCATGTGAAGGTATCAGCTTGGCTTTGGAGAGGACTTCATAATGGATGGTACATATGAGAGTTTTTAGGAGCAAAAAAGACATCAGGAGACAGGAGGTCAGAAAGAAATACGGGGGTCCAGTTCACTGTTATAAGAACTAGCTCTCTTGAGAACTAACTCAGGATCCCAGGAGAACTAATTTAATCCCTTCTGTGAGCAGTTCCTACTAGGTTATTCCACTAGGCCCTGTGTCTTAAAGATCCCACAACCACACTAAGGACTCTGACCCTAGTCAGACCTCAAACTTTTGAGGGACAACCACATCCAAAGTAGCAAATGGTATTAGAAACCAAGATCTGGGTGCTATGTGTGCTCATTGCTACTAGCATGTCATTGTCTCTAGGTCCTGTCAGCTGATAGAGAAAGAAATATGTGCAAATACTGACTTATATACACACATCTATATGGAATATCTTTGTCTATATTAATATAAACATGGGGTCACACTGACATCTTCACTCCATTCCATCGCTCCATAATCATCCTAGCCTTCTCCCTAGTAGAAGATCATGGGTTGGATCTTTTACTAGGAGAATAGTTGCTACTGAGGACATCATTTGTAAAATTGGTTTGACTGATTACTACTGTATCAATATTGAACTTGATAATAGTACTTTGCCAATGGAAAGAGAGGTCTTTGTCCAAAAGAAATATTTGTGGAAGTGTTCAGGTCCTAGA